ATTTATGATTATCTGTTATTACAATTGTGGGACAATATTAAAACTAAGTTAAGTATTCATAACAACACAACTTTTTTTTTTTTTTTTTTTTTTGAGATGAAAAAAATTTATAATAATAATAAATTATATTCAATCAAAAAATTGAAATCAATGAATTTCAAAAACCCCTCACTGTAATCTCCCCTTGTAAGAAAAAATTTCTCAAAATTATGCTACTGTAAAAAATTGCTACTTTAAATAAAATTATTTTATTTAATTATCTCCAAATAATAGGAATATAAAATTTGTTTTTAAACAGAATTGCGCAGTAAAATCATACCACTAAAATAAAATATTACTAATAACTAATTCACTTTACATAACTAAATTTTTCAATTTGATTTCAAGTCTGAAATTAGATTTTTCTTATAACATCATTTTTTGAGATTATTACTAATTAGAGAGCGAGAAAGAAAAAAAAATGAATTTTATTGCCATAACTTTTAGCTCAACTTGAAGTGTGTAAATTGACAATCATTAAATAGACAAAAATTGTATTGTTAAAATTAATATGCCATCAAGAAATTTTATAATTATTATTTACAGTAAATTCACGATAAAATCTCTAGTACTTTTATATGTATTTTTATCATAATAATTAATTTCAATAGTAATCATTTCTATATAACTCTTGGTTAATCTAAAATTGAAATATTCAAAACTTAATTAATTTTAATGAGAAGCTTTAACTAAAATAAACTAATTAAAAAGTTTTTATAATAATCTAATCAGTTGAGCGTACGAAGGTCTAGCGGAAAGTAATGCCTCCACTCCTCTCGATCCCTTTCTAATGGTCGAATCGAAATGAAACAGGTCTCAAAAGAAATAGTAAAGTATATTGAACAAGATACACTATTTATTTTTCAACATAGTCTCCTCCTATCTCGATACATTTGGTTAAACGCGAAATCCATTTGTTATAGGCGTGCATGAAGAAGTCAGGCTCTTGTTGTCGTATCCAGTCTTCAATAAAATCCTGAACTTCATCGTCTGACTCGAAGTGGTGTCCCCTGAAGTCTTCCTTTAACTTGGGGAATAAATAGAAGTCGGAAGGAGCGAGACCCGGGCTGTACGCAGGGTGTGGTATGGTGTCAAAATTCAGGTCGTCAATTTTGGCGCTAGTCTGCCGGCTGCAGTGAGGTCTCGCATTATCGTGATGAAGCAAAAACTCTGCGTACTCGGGTCTAACTCGTCTAATTCGTCTTTTAAGGCGCTTTAAGGTTTCACAATACGGGTTCGAATTAATTGTGGTGCCTTTGGCCATGAATTCTCGGTGGATTATACCACGAGAATCCCAAAAAACGGTCATGATTTTTCCTGCTGATTTTTGAGTTTTGAACTTCCTCACACGCGGAGAATTTGGATGTCTGTACTCCATAGACTGTTTTTTAGTCTCGGGGTCATAATGATGAACCCATGCTTCATCACCAGTCACTATAGTGAGTAATTTGTCGTGACCTTTCAAACTATGGAGCTCAATAAGTTTCTGCGCTGCCTCAACTCTTCGCTTCTTCAAAACATCGGTGAGTATTCTTGGAACCCATCTTGCACAAACTTTTTTGAAATCGAGGTTTCTAACGATAACACTGACTCGATTTTAAGAGATGTCCAATAATTCCGCGATTTCACTTTGCTTAATCCGACGATTTTCGCGAATAAGGGTCTCGACTTTTTCAACGTTCGCATCTATGATGGCAGTTTTGAGGTGTCCTGACCGTTTTTGATCAACCACAAATAACTTCCCCCTTTCGGCCACTTTAGCACTTCTTAGCTAACGTCTTACATTGCTTATGTCGATGGTTTCATCCCCATAAACCTCTTTCAAACGGCCGTGAATCTCTTTAGGCGCACAGTTCTCCGCGGTTAAAAATTCGCTAACAGCACGTTGCTTGCACCTGGTCGACAAACTCGTTTCCGTAGACATCGTACTACATACAAACCATACAATCTAGGGCGACGAAACTTCGCATACTAATTCCAGACACTGCAGGCTATCAAACGAGACCGCGAACGTGTTTTTATCCCCACTACTTCCCGAATTAGCGTAGGGGAGGCATTACTTTCCTCTAGACCCTCGTATTATAAAAATTGATTATAATTGTAAAAATCCATCATAAAATAAGATAACCAAATATCATTTAATTGTAACATTTTACTAAATAATTTTGAATATTATAGATTGATAAGATACCAGAGTCAATAATTTAATAAAAAAACAAAGTGAAATTATTTATTTTTATAGTTGGCACCTATTATCATATCATACCAAATTCGACAATATACACTTTAAAAACTTTAATAATTTTAATTGTCTATATGGAAAATGTGAGCTAAGTAAGTATTTAATTGAAAAGGTGGATTTTTTTCAATTTTTAAGGGTAATATCTTCAACTAGATACGTATTGTAATCATTTGACGTAAAAAAATTGGTCAAGTGACAGCTGAGAAAAATGAATGACAGACACAAAAAAAAAAATTAGTGATTTAATTTAGTATGAAATTGTATTCAATAATTTAATATTGTTATTTATCCAGAGAAATTATAAAAATTATAAAGTAGTTGTATATTTCTTTATTATTAATGTGTATAAATATTTAACGGAATTTATTCAATACTTTTCAAAAAAAATTTTTTTGTTACTTAAGCATAATACACTGGACTACAAGGAACTTTCATCAAAATCAAAAATATACTTTTTTAAATCAACTTTTCGCACCGATTTCAAATATGAAATTAGACTTTTTCTATCATCACATCTAAATTTTTAATGTTATTACTAATTACAAATAACAAATAGGACAAAAAAAATTGTTTTAAAATTATTACTAATTTTAGCTTTGATGCGAAGCTGAGTAGGTATTAATGTTACTATGATGTGTTTTTTTTTTTTGTGTCTGTTACAAATTTAAAAATGACTAATTTTTGACATTTCAATTTTTTTTTCTTAAAAAACCCATGACTTTTTTGTGAGGTATTTACCTATTATTTTGTATATTTGTTTTAGAAATCTGACCCTTTACCTGTCCAAAAGGAGGGATTCAAAACTTTTTCAACTAAACTATTGAAAGTGTTCCGGAAATATTGACACTCTTATATATATATCATAAATAAAGCTTGTGTTATATACTTTAATATGAAAAAAAAAAAATTCGGACTTTATTTTATTTTCATGGTGAAAGCGGACATCAAAGTTAATTAAAAAAAACCATTTTCGTAAAAAATTACAATATTAAATTATTAAATATCAATTTCATACTATATTTAATTGCTATAATGAAAAATTATTCACTTATTATTACACTTATATATCATAAAAATTATAATCAGGATATAAATAAATAGAAGTTCATTTTGCTTTTGGTATAATCCACTAATTTCTTAAAATTAAATATTATATATTGCATTGTGTCGAAGTATTTCTCTTATGATAGTAATTTTAATCACAATCAGACATCTATATTTGTCTCAATTATGCAACGTCTACACACGGTGCTGTTACCCTACTATGCTACCGTTTTTGTTAAATAAATTTACTTTTTCAAATGAATATTTATTTATAGAATACAATTATTCTAAAAAACATAAAAACGTACCTCTAAAACAAATGTGAAAATAATTGCAGGAAGTTGTTTTTTAAACAAAATATCTATACAAATTATTTGAAGTTTGAATTTTTGGTTATTTATACCACAAAATGCTTGAACAAGAATTATGAACATAATAATGATAATAGGCTTATAATATTTTTTACATCTAAATAAATCTGAAAAAGACTCTATTCCTATGTTCTATAATACAATAAACATTTTTAATTTAAAGTAATTAACTTTTTTTAATTTTTATGGAACGTACATGTATTAAACAGTAACTGGCTTCAGAACATTCTAGCGCTTGCACATTTGATGGCAAATTTGTTCTATTTTGTGATTTTTGAAAGCTAATTCTATAATATAAAGGATCTTCAATATCCAGTAACGCAATCATATTAAAAAAACCAATGATAATTATTATAACAGTCAGACATGAGCAATAACTATAGTAATTCATTACACTAGTTACACCTAAGCCCATTATTTGAGCTATATAGTGGAAACTAATGAAAGCACCTAAAAAATGAAATTAAATAGTTAATTAAATGTATAACATTAAGATTACTATAACTATTCAGGGTACATAATTAATATTTTAGCACGATAACGCATGAGTCTGACACGGCACCGCTTTTTGCTCTAAGCTGGCGGCGCTCACCCGTGTCTCTCTCGATATCAGCCGTCCAGCTATTAATATGACAATCGGTTGTCATCGGTCGTCACCCCGCCCTTGACACTGAGATAAGGCCGCCGCCGAATATGGATTACCGATATTGCGGTCTGTTCCGTTTTCGACGTACACCTCAACTGGTGTGGTTTTTTTTTTTCAACGTACGTGCCAATCGGTTTTCGCTACCCACGAGACTGATTCTATTCGTTTTTGTTTTTTCTTACGCTGATTGTGAAACGATTCCTTACGGTTTCTGTGTGCGGGACAGTTCCCATAAACGTGAGAATATAGATATATATACATATACATATATAGGCATATATAAGAATTACTTTAATTGGAAAGTGGAAATAAACTCTTCCGTTTTGTGTGGTGTTCGTCAGCTTAGCTAAACGACGCGACAACAAACCGTGCGGCCAACTTCTTTTTGGATTACGCATTAAGTCATATGGTGACAATTTATAACAAAATTTAAAAACCATTCAAAGAAACGTATTTTTGTATGGTTTAGTTCAGGGCTTCCCAAACTTTTTTTTGCTGTGCCGCCCTTGGGGATGGGCCATTTTTTTGCGACGCCCCCAGTGATGAAAACTGCCTACCATGCCTAGTTGTAGTTCTAGACAAGTAACAAGTTATCAGAAAAAACTCCGAATACATTTTATATTTTTTTATTAATAACAAAATAAAAACATAGCCGAAACTAATGGGACGGATGTGCTTGCTTTTCTGAGCATAGCTTTTCAAAACGGGGCTCAAGATTGGAAATAGCTACTCGCATTTCTTTCTCGACATTAATTTTCGATCTGTACTTATTTTTAATTACTGCAACTGCAGAAAAGCCTGTTTCGCACAAGTACGATGTCGCAAAGGGTAGCAGAACCTTCAATGCCGCAGTGCTGATGGCACGATATTCATGAGAAACTGAGCTCCAGAATTCGAGCAGTTTGTCTTTGTCGTATTGGAGCTTAAGACTGGAGTCACAGGACAGTTCAATCAGTTGTTCTTCCTCCGCTGTGGAAAGTGTTGATGGTGGTGTCGACTGAAAAGGGTTCCTAACCCAGTCATATTGCTCCAGATTTTCAGGAAAATATTTGGCAAAATGTTCATTTAATGATGACAAGTGCTGTGTAAATATTATTTTTATGGAGGGATCGAGGGTCTCTATCGATTTTTCATGTAGAATGCCTTGTAAAGCAGGGAAACAGTCAGTATTTACTTGACCTTCTTCTAATTTTCTCTTCCATAACAGCAACTTCTTTCGAAATCCAGTAATTTTATCTGCCAGTTGCAGTATGTGAGTATTGTTTCCCTGCAAGGACTTATTAAGCTCATTTAATTTTTGAAAAATGTCGCAGAGATATGCCAATTTTATTAGAAAATCAGTATTAATAAAACTTTGTGCATCATTGTGTGATTCGGTCTGTAGATAAGTGTAAAACTCATTTCGTAGTTCGTGCACACGTGCGAGTACATTGCCTTTGGACAACCAGCGAGAGTTGCAATAATAAATTAAAGAGGTGTGCTGGGCACCCAATTCTTCACAAAGCTTATGAAAAAACCTTGCTTTCACAGGTCGTGTTTTAATGTAGTTCACCACTTTGATAACTATGTCCATCACAGCACTTAATTCAGGTGAAATGTTCTTTGCAGCCAAGGCCTCTCTGTGTATGACGCAATGTGTCCATTTTACATTTGGAGCCTTGGTTTTGATGAGAGCTTGTAGTCCTCCATACTGTCCAGACATCGCTCGAGCACCATCCGTACACACACCCACACAGTTCTCCCATTTAATATTATTTTCGGCCATGTAAGAATCCAAAATCTTAAATAGATCAATAGCCTTACCACTATCATATATTTTTCTGCAAAATAACAAATCCTCACATACATTTATTTCTTGTATGTACCGCACGTAACATATCAATTGAGCATCGTCATTACTATCGGTCGCCTCATCCAGTTGAATGGCAAATGAACATGAAAGTTTTTCCACAATTTGCTCATTAATATCTTCTGCCATGTCATGAATACGGCGGCTAATAGTATTGTTTGAAAGCGGTATATTTTTTATTTCTTTAGCCGCCGATTCTCCAATCATCACTGACACCATATCAACCGCAGCAGGTAAAATCAGTTCCTCAGCAATCGTGTGAGGTTTCTTACACTTGGCGACACGGTGAGCTACCTTGTAGGAGGCGAGCAATGCTTTGGAAGGAACTGACGCTCTTGAAAGCAAAGCCGTGGACTGATGTTTCAGGTCTCGCAATTTTCTAACAAAAAAGTCTTTCGGCTTACCTTGCAAATGACTGTGAGTTGTTTCCAAATGACGTTTTAGTTTATTAGGAAGCATACTTTCAGCTGCCAACACTTTATGACAAACAACACATTGAGGAAGTTCTTCATTTCCTTTAGTAATGTATGTAAACCCAAAATCTAAATATTGGTCGTCATATTTTCTATATTTCTTTCGTTTATCTGTTGTTTCTTTACTGCTTTCTCCTGAGCTTTCATTTCGTTTTCTATCTCTCTGAATATAATTATCCATAATGATAGGTACTCAATATCAAACGTCCGCGTGCGTAATTAAACAAAACAAAACCTCGACTGAACGAACGACATGAACGCACGGGGAATGGGGAACGGGCGGGGGATGTCAACGGCCAGCCTCGCGCGCCGAACGTCGACACCGACAGACTGCGCGCGGCGCTCACTGGAGATGGTCGCGTCGATACAAACTACCAAATGCGGTTCGCCTCGCGACGCCCTTGGGTTAGTGCCGCGACGCCCCAGGGCGTCGCGACGCACAGTTAGGGAAGCCCTGGTTTAGTTCTTTAAAACAAATATTTTGAGGTTCCGATTAGGTTTTGGTTTCTTTTTTTCTTTGTCAAAAACGGTCTTAAACCAGTTCTTATTTAAAATATTCTACTGATAAATAAATTATCATTATATTATATTATATTATAGTATTTTTTATTATTAATTTAAAATTAATTCTTTTAAAATTTTAAATTTAAAGAATACAAAATTACAAACCACAAAAATTTGATTTTAGCTTCGATGCGAAGCTGAGAAGGTATTAATTTTACTATGATGTGTTTTTTTTTGTGTGTCTGTTACCACTTTTTCTCAGCTCTCACCGAACCGATTTCTTTCAATGATACGTCAAAAGATCACAAATCGTATCTAGTCGAAGACATTACCCTCAAAAATTGAAAAAATTTCCCTCGTTCCCCGTAAATGGGGGAAAAATAAAAAAAAAACTACAAATTTAAAATTCGCAAATTTTTCAATTTATTTTACTAAAAACTGGCGTAACATTTTCAAAAATGAACATATCAGTATAATCTTTATTTTTTATAGTTGCTTGATGTCTTTACCTATCATTTGGTATATTTTTTTTGTAAATCTGACACTTAACCTGCCCACAGGGGGGGATTTAAAATGACTACTTTTTCACAAAAAAATAACTTGTTCAACTTAACTTTTGAAAATGTTTCGGAAGGCGAGACACTTTTATATATATATCTTACTTTAAAGCTAATGTAATGTATTTTGAAAAAAAAAAAATCTGATTTTTATGTCATTTAGATTTAATAACTTGAATAAATATCGAGGACGCCATCAATGTAGTCCCACCTCATTTGAAGAAATTTCTCATTCATATTGAAGTTTTTTTACTATGTGATTGTTGTTTTTTATGGCTCTCATTTATTTTCTCAGATCTCTCTTGTTCAATTTTTTTTAACAACATATCAAATGATCACAACTATTATCTAGTTAAAAATATTACCCTCAAAAATTGAAAAAATTTCCACTTTATCAATTAAAAAGTTACTTAGCCCACATTATTATTATTTTAATTTATAGCTAATATTTAGTAGTACTAATTTTATCTTAATAAGTTAAATTTACAATTATTATTAGGATTGAACATTTATTTATGTTTTACATTAGTAATGTTATTAACAGTATTATATAAATTTAAGTTAATCAATTAAAAAAATTTAATTTTTTCAATACAAAAAATAATTTTTGAGATAAATTTAATGTCTTAAATATTATTTTTAAAATAAAAATTTTTAGTTAAAACATACATTTTAAGAGCAATTTTAAATTTAAATTTTAAACAATTAAAAATTACATTAATTATTGATATATTTTTAGATGAAAAGCTAACAAATTTTTTTTTTATTAATATAACATTTTGTTTTTCTTATTTGTTTTTTATTTGATTCCTGTTGATAGGAGATAAGAATACTTCCACGGCCTCTCTGCCAGTCGTAAGAAGCGACTAATGGGGTTGTGTCAGGTCGACAGCCGGCGTAAAATTTTTGTCAAATAGTATGAGGTGTCTTGACTTAGGCGAATTGTCTCATCTCGGATGTACGCAGGGACAACAGGAATAAAGTAATTAAAAACGGAGAAGGCCTAAGGAATAGTCTTTGATACCAATTGGACAACTTGTGCGGTAGCTGTTTAACCAACTTGTAGTGTCAACGGTGTAGGGAAATCACCACTAAACTCTAGGCTGGACTCGTGTATAAGGGAGAAAAATAGATACAAAGAAAGAATAGGTACTTGGAATGTAGGAACATTAACTGGTAAAAGTGGAGAATTAGCAGAAGTATTGAAGAGGAGAAAAGTTAACATTTGTTGTGTGCAGGAAACTAAGTGGAAAGGAGAGAAATCGAGGGAAACAGGCAAGGGTTATAAAATAATATACTCAGGTAAGTCTAGTACAAATAATGGTGTAGCATAATAATGGATTAGGAGATGAAAAAAAAAATAGTAGAGGTAGCTAGGAAAAGTTACAGAATTATAGTCGCAAAATTGATATTCGAAGAAAAAGTGCTGAATGTAATAAGTGTCTATGCACCACAAGTAGTATGTGGCGAAATAGACAAAGAAGTGTTTTGGAGAGAGATGGATGATGTGATGCAACGGGTACCTGGCAATGAGGATGTGGTAATAGATGGAGATATGAATGGAATGTAGCTAATGAGAGGAGAGGATATGAAAGAGTACATGGAGAGTATGGTTTTAGTAGGAAGAATGAGACTGGAAAAAGAATTCTGGATTTCGCTATATCGTATGATCTTGCTATGGTTAATACTTATTATAGAAAGAGGGAAGAACATTTAATAACTTATAAAAGTGGGAGGAATAGATAGATTATTTTATTGGAAGAGAGAGAGCGTAAAGCGAGTAAAAGATTGTAAAGTTATACCAGGCGAGAGTGTAACTACACAACATAGACTGATGGTAATGTGTTGTACCGGGAAGAGAATAAACAAAAATAGAAGAAACACCGGTGAAAAATCGAAGATCCGGTGATGGAAATTTAAAGGAGAAAATTAAAATGTTTGTAAAAACGGTAAAAGACAGGAATGTGGAATGTCAAGGGAGGCATAAATAATGTGTGGAATAGATTTTCTAATTGTGTAATGAATACTACAAAGCGATTGTTGATGAGAGTAGGAGTAGAATGTCAGGAAAAAAGAAAACCTGGTGGTGGAATGAGGAAGTTCAAAAAATCATAGAAAGTAAGAAAAAGCAATTCAAAGTATGGAAGAAGAGCAAAAGAAGAGAAAATTGGATGGCAACGCTTGTGCTAAGAAGCCAAGTGTGCAGTAACTATGGTGAAGTTTAAGAGGTATGATGAGTTGTATGACAGGTTAGGAACAAAGAAAGACGAGAAAGATATATATAGACTTGCAAAGGTAAGAGAGAAAAGTTCTAAAGATTATAATTATATAAGGTGTATAAAAAGTATTGAAAATAAGGTACTCTCGAGTGATGATGATGTGAAAAAAAGGTGGAAAAAGTATTTAAAAAGATTACTGAATGAGGAGTACCCAAAAGACATTAGAGGATATCTCATGTAATGAGGGACTAGTAGATTTAATTAGTGAGAAAGAGGTATGGGAGGCTGTGGCATCAATGAAAAAGAATAAAGCCGTAGGACCAGATGAAGTGCCAATAAAAGTATGGAAAATATTAGGCGGTGTTGACATAAGGTGGTTGAAGGAACTTTTAAATAAAATATTATTAGAAGAAAAAATTCCACATGAATGGAGGAATAATATTGTGGTGCCGATATTTAAAGGTAAAGGTGACATATAGGAATGTGGAAATTATAAAGGCATAAAGTTTATGAGTCATAGTATGAAAATTTGGAAAAAGGTAACAGATAAGAGAATAGGAAATGAGACATCGGTATCTAAAAATCAGTTTGGATTAATGCCTGGTAAATCAACAATGGAGCCAATATTTTGTGAGGCAACTCATAGAAAATTTTAGGGAAATGTAGAAATGGTATTTATAGATTTGGAGAAACCTTATGATAGAGTATCGTGAGAGAAAAGGTACATTAATATAATAGAAGATATGTATGATGGCACTTGTACCAAGGTTAAGCGTAGGAGGAGTATCAGAAGGCTTTCGGGTAGTGCATCAAGGTTCTGCATTAATCCCTTACTTATTCTCTATAGTGATAGATGAAATTACTAGAGAAAAACAAGAAGAGGTTACGTGGTGCATGTTGTTTGCTGACGATTTAGTGTTAATAGGAGAAAATAGGGAGGAAATTAATCAAAGGCTAGATGTGTGGAATACTACTCTTGAAGAAAACGGTTTAAGAAAAAGTAGAAGTAAGACAGAGTATATAGAGTACGAGTTTGACAAAAGAGAACACGAGGTGGGTGAAATGAGGAGATCAGTGACATTAGACGAGGACGTGATAAGAGAGGTGAAAAGTATTAAGTATTTAGGATCAGTTGTGCAAAGGAACGAGGATGTAAGACACAGGATTAAGTGCGGGTGGTTAAAGTGGAGGAAAGACTGTGGTGAAATCAGCTATGATGTATGGTTCAGAGTGTTGGGCGGTTGATAAGAAAGTAGTGAGAAGAGAATGAGTGTAGCAGAGATGAGAATGTTTGGATGGATGAGTGGAGTGACCAAAAAAAATAGGTTAAGGAAAGAACATATAAGAGGGAGTATAGGTGTAACGTCAATCGTAGATAAATGAGAGAAAATAGACTTAGATGGTATAGTCATGTTATAAGGATAGAAGAATCAAAAGCTGTAAGAACAGTTATAGAAATGAATGTTGAAAGAAGAAGAGGCAGAGGAAGACCAAATAAGAGATGGTGGCATGTTACTGAATGCTGTGTGAGAACGGCTGATGTGAGCGTAAATGACGTGGGAGATCATATCTAGTGGAAGTTTAGGATAAGGATGACCGACCCCAAGTAGTTGGGATTAAAGCGAGGAAAAAGAAGAAGAAGACTTAGCCCACATTTTCTATATAGACAATTAAAATCATTCATTTTTAATGTTTTTAAAGTATTTATTGTCGAATTGCGTTTGATATAATAATAGGTTTCAACTACAAAATTAAATAATTGTACTTTGTAAAATATTAATTTTTTAATTTTATTTGTGTGTTACTAACAGTTTATAATATACCAAATTTTTTGGTAACATATTTCTATATAAATCATAAATCTAAAATAAAATGATTTTTAGTTTCACCTGAATTTAACAGTTATAATCAAATTTTATAGTACACTCAATTGAATAATTTTTTTAACAAAATTTTCATTACTTTTTTTAGTTAAAGTAAATCATTAAAATTAATTGTTCTGAATTTTTCAATTGTAGAATATTTTTAAACACCAAAAATTACTTTGAAATGAATATTTTGATTTCTATTTAAGTGATCTATTATAACGTAAATGCAAAAAAAATATTGAGCTTTTCTGATAAATTTACAGTTAATAGTTATTCTACCACTTCCTGGCTGCATATTTATCTTATGAATACTATTTTTTTATTCTCATAAAATTTTCTATTTAAGATTCTAAATTTCAAACTTGAAGTTATGGTAACAAATTCAACTGATTATTTTTTACTTATTAAAAATCAAAACCTGTAATAATTTAAAAACAATTTTTTGTGATTTTAATTATTTTTTTATCGTAAATTATTGCAAAAGAAATAATAATAATAATATTAATCAGAATTATTTTCCTTATAGTTCTATATAACTATATCCTATAATATCCTATATCAATAATTATTGGTGATAGAAAAAATATAATTGCTAATTTGAAATTAGAACGAAAAATTGAATAATGAAAGTATATTTTTGACTTATAAGGAAATTTTTTGAAGCCATTTATTCATAATAAACAACAAATTATTATCTAAAAAGTTCTGTGTCAAACCCTTCAATTTTTATAAACGTTTGCCATAAAAGTAATAACTACTTTATAATTTTTTATATATCTCCGAAAAAATTACAATTTTAAATTATTAAATATGAATTTCATACTACGTTAAATTGCTTTAATAGATATTTATTCATAGATTATACTTATAAAACAACTACTAATTAATAATAATGATAGAAATAGGAGTTAATTTTGCTTTAAGAATAATCAACCAAATTCTTAAAATTAAATATTATCTATAGATTTGCATCGAAGCGTATTTTGTGATAGTGATTTTAATCACTGTCAGATATCTATACTGGGCCCAACTATGCCACGTCCTCACTGTGCCACGACCCCATTGTGCTGTTTTTATTATAATATATTTATTTTGCGAATAATTAAGTTGTATATGATAAACCGATTACCAGTACAATTATACATGACTCGAAATTTGCTAATGAGAAATAATAGAAATATTAAAAATATGTAGAATTTTAAAATTACAAATTAATCAGTACTGTTTTCTAAATTCAACCATGTAGATTAACGTTTGAGCAGGCACGTATCCATGGGGAGGCCTCGAAAATTTGAAATTCAAAAAATTTTTCCATGTGAGGTTTTCCATAGAAAAGTCTTCAATGTAGAATTTTTTCAGTATAGCATTTTCTATTCTTCGAAATTTAAGTTTTCGGTCGTCAGTAAGGACATCCAGCGTTTCAAATTACATACGGAATATAAATATATTATATTTGTACATATATGATTATGTACTTTTATTTTAAGTTGTGAATAATGACACTAATTACTAAAGCAGTTATTTAATGTTATTTTGTTTGTTTATAATACATGTCCATTACAAACTACACCATGGCCAAGGCGGAATACCCCTTTACGATAACTTTAGATAAAAAAAAAAACCAAACCTAATGGAATTACCAAATGTGTTGATGTTTGATGTTTATGATAACATAACTGTGGATGATAGCAATGTGCTATTTTTATTATATCCATCAAAAATTTTGACGCGTTCGTTTGTTCGAAATTAAAATTTGTGATTGTGTAGTTATTTTAATATGTAATTTATCAATAAAAAATTATTATCAATAAACAGTAATATTATTTATAAATCATAATACTTTTATTCGTCATGAATAAAGATAAATTATGTATTCGTGGTAAAAGTAAGGGAGATTTAAACCAAAGCAAATGGCTAAGACACCTAAATTCATGTAGCAGAAAAAGAAAATCTACCAGTACAACAACCAGCAACATAAAAAAGTTCTTTTCATCGACGAATTCATTCTCCACAACAAATCTGGGTAATGTATAATATTTAACTGACTGATATTTAACTAACGAATAAAATAGTATAGTAATAACAATAGAATGAATTATTTTAAACTATGTAAATTTTTTTTATCTTTATTGGTTAATTCACACATTTCTTATTTCTATTGATTAAAAAAATTTTTGGTCACATTTTTTTGTTGCATTAAAACCTTTTTATATTCAGAAAAATAAGATCTGATGACAATGAAATAGATAAGATGAATGTTAAATTTTAAAAGTTGTGGTATGCCAGATATTAATGATAAACTTTTAAAATTGTTTTATTAAGTTTATATTTTTGAACATTAATTAATTATTATCAACTGAAGTTTAACCATTATTGAATAATTATGTGTTATTTTTAATTTTTGTAGACTTCAAAAACATTTCAATGGTTTATTATTTACTTTAGTTAAATTGACTAATAATTATAATTAATCATTTTAATTTTACTTTCTATTATTTTTACAGATCTAGACCTAGAACAAAATCCAAATAAACCAAATGATGGTGGTTTAACAGGTACTTTATAAAAATGTTTTGTTGTATTTATTTTTATCATCTATCAAATTTCCAAAAAATAATCCGAATTTGAATTCTTCTGGTAAATTTCTTAAAATGTTCGTTTCTTATGTTTTACAGAGAACTTTTTAAACAATAGTGAGTGTAGTGAACAAAGCAACCATAGTTTCAAAGTTAACTCGGGGCCGAAAACGAATTTTCACGTCGGCATAGACAAAGAAAGTGAGCAGCATATTTCGAACCATCATTAACGAATATCTTATATTATTTTAAACGTTTATATAGAATACAAATTTTATTATACAGAAGAGGATAATATATCCCATTTGGACTCCAAAGACAACATATCTGACCCAGTCACTTCAACTGGTTTACATGAAATCGTTCACCCTGTGTGGCAAGCCAATCGATTTGATATTGGGATCACAAACCGAAATTTGCTAGATGACACCACGAAAAAAAATGTACTTTCATCGGTATTGTTACCAAAAGAAACATACAAATTCCCTACAGNGGTATTGTTACCAAAACAAACATACAAATTCCCTACAGAAACATCGCATAATAGAAGTTTTCAACCTAAGTGGATTACTAATGATTTTGCTTGGCTGGCTTACTCAGCGAGTGAAGACAGCGTATATTGCAAATCTTGCTGGTTNATTCTGAGAGAAGACAGTGTATATTGCAAATCTTGCTGGTTATTTTTCCATGAAGGCGTTTGAAAAAGGGGTCATCAAAAACCAGGAAAACTTGTGTCTGTCGGTTTTCGAGACTGGAAAAAGCTAGAGAATTTTTTCAAAAACATATGGAAAAAGAATATCACAAAAAATGTGTTATGCAAGCCACTACATTTCTCAATATATTAACTGGAAAGTAGCTGGATATCGCGTCTCAGTTGGATAGTCAACGCACCAAAGAGATAGCTGAAAATATGGCTGCATTGGAACCATATTGCAATGAACCATACATCATAGCTGTCATCACAATTTCATACTAAATTTAAAAACTATAATTAGTATTTATTCATATATTATATTTTAAAATCAAAGAACTACTAATCAGGATATAATTAAAGAAATAAGAGTTGATGTTTCTTTTGGAATAATCCACCAATTTCTCTAAATGAAACACTATCTACAAATTTGCATCGAAGCGTTTCTTATGATAGTGATTTTAATCACTGTCAGATATCATCTATACTTGTCCTATCTATGCCTCGTCCACACTGAGCCTCGACCCCACTGTGCTATTGTTTTTTTTTTATAAGATGTCCAATAGTTGAGAAGAATATATTTAAATAATCTGAAGCAGTTAATGGATGTTATCATTATCGTAAATTTCGTTAGTACATACGCTACACACCGACATATTTATTTTTAACTTAGAAATATCGATAGGCGAACACATAAGAATGATAACTGATAACTGAATTTCTTACATTAAATGTAAATTAAAATGAATCAATGAGATATCAAAGATTGATTTTTACTCTAAACATTTATGTTACTATTATATTATGTTAATATTAAAATTTAATTAAGCTCTATTTGGTGACAATATTTTTAGCTAACCTATCTTGCTAATATGAATAAATTTGACCTATGAATATGAATATAAACAAGATAAAAAAAAGATAGCATAAATAAATTGCATAAAATTTAATGGACTTTATTAAAATACTTTTAATTAAATATATTAAATCAAATAAAACGACATAATTAAAAAAAAACATTAATAAATCAAGTAATACTTACCCAATAACCTATACAATGTATCGTGGATTAATATATGGAAAGAATAACGTGTCTAAGCAGAAATTACCAATTATTATCAATCATTTTGAGAAGTGTTTACAATTATCGAAAGAAAACACATAGACAGACGCCATCTGTTGAACGCTTACATTACTTTAATGATGAAAATTGATAAAATACAAAAGTTTCATAACGCCATCTATGAGAAAATAATAGCAATCGACTTTTACGAATATAATTTTCAATAAATATAGTAAAAAAAAATTAAAAAAACACGCTTTTAAAGCACATCGAACTAAAAAGTTAAAAATAATTTTTCAAATAAGCTTAATACAATAATGAACGAAAAATACTAGTATTATTGTTTTAAGCTTATTTTAAAAATTATTTTTAACATTTTAGTTCAATTACTTTAAAAGCTTGTTTTTTTAGTTTTTAAACTTTATTTATTTTTTACTTTTTAGTTTTTTATGGCATCGCTATCACAGTCATGGAGTGTTTATTATCAATTATGACTATCAATAGATATAATTTCTATATTGGCAGTTAGTGTATTTATAAGTTCACAATTGTGTCTTACTACTGTGGCCGTGCAGCCACTATCAGTCACCAGTGTTACCGCATTTATGTCGCGTGAATTATATTTGTGAATTTATGTGTTGGTATTCGTGTTGTGTCGTTTCTGTTTGTATGTGATAAAAAAATGTAACTGTTATTTTGTTTAGTTTTGGTAGAGTCAGTCTTCTCGATTATATACAACACACGTTAGTTACTGCTCACGCTCTTATACCTTTTATATTACTTTTTTTTTTTTGTAATTTGTTGTTTTATTAATTGGTTTAAACCTGATATACTTTTGTTTAATATTTGTTTAGTAACAATAAATATTTTTATACTTGATAACAATCACTCATGCTGTTATACTTATTTATTGGAGCTCATATATACTCATAACCTCCAAACTACTATTGATAACAAATGCTATGTACCTGCGAATATCGTCATAAAAAAATTATACAGGAATAGTGTTTTGTTGGCGTATAGTGAGCAGGGTGGGGTGATGCGTTACGACAGTCGTCTAGTCTTAAGGTCATAAACGACGGGATACGCGAAAATAATAACACGTGGCGCGTGGAGATTTACAAACACTCACAACAAACATACACGTAAAACTAATATAACCGTGTTAATAAAAAATAAATGAGGCTATTAATCAATATAAAAACTATCATTTTGCCTAAGTTGGACCCAATTACACATGTATGTCAAATTTCATCAAAATCGGTTCAGTAGTTTCGGTGTCCATCGCGTACAAACACCGTGACATGAGATTTTTATATATGAAAATAAAATGAGAATTTGAATTGGATAATATAATATCAAGCATTGAACCATAGCTATTGGATATTGTATTTATTTGAAATAGGTTAAGAAATTCTAGGTTTTCCAGAAAAATAGCTTCAGGAGGTAATAGATTTAAATTGGCATTTAAAGATGCTTCATTTAAGGGGTAATATCCACCAAATTTTTTTTTTTTTTCATTTTTTTTGTATTGGCTTATATCATGCTAAAACTATCCTAGAATCAAAATCTTCAACGCCCAAGTACTGATCTAAACTCAAAATTCGTTTAAATCAATTTTTTCCGAACAACTTTTATGCTCCAAAATCACATTTTTCGCTTATTTTAGCGATGCTCGTTTTTTTTTTTAATTCGCGGCTTTGTAAATTAGTAGAAGTTACCTATGATCGATATCTTTTTTTGAATATGAAGTATAGAATTTCGATCGTTACAGCGTCTGTACAGCACGTGTTTACTCACAATTTCCCTTTGTTTAGTCGATCAGCCGTTCTAGTTGTGTACGTTCTTAGTTTGAGTTTTGCTGTACTTTTTAACTGTGAATTATATTCAAAAGTACTTAATTATGAGTAACAAGTTGTACAGTGACCACAAAGGCAGTAAAACAAGAAGTACCAGAACAACCCGGAGTAAAATTAGTAACCGACACCCGCCTAACCACTATGCGTTCGAAGGCTATTCAAAATAAGGCGAAAAAATTAAAAAATTCTGATTTAAATCGTGATTGCGATGTTGATAGGGATTTCGGCTACTGTTTCATACATTTTTTTTCGCTGTATTTACTGCTCTTTCTGAATTATTAGTATGTAAAAAATGTAATAGTGATGTGCAGTTTTCACAGTCGAGCAAGCGTGGACTAGGCTTCAAGATTGTTGTGTCTTGTTCGAACTGCGGTGATGCCGATATTATTAACTGTCCTCTAATACATGATCGTGCTTATGAGATCAATTGCCGTATTATTTTTGCTATGCGCGTCATTGGCATAGGCATCAACGGTATAAAAAAGTTCTGTGCGATGATGGATTTCGCAAAGCCTGTTTTTCAAACAACTTACAGTATGATCATTTCCAATATTGGCACTGCTACTTCATCTGTTAAAATTATTTCTATGAAAAAATCAGCTATTGAAGAGAAAGAACGTTCTATTGAACGAGGTGAAGAAGGCGGTCTTACGGTGTCAGGCAATGGATCTTGGCGTAAGAGGGGGTTTTCATCTTTGTTTGGATTAGTTACTTTAATTGGTTGGCACACTGGCAAGGTATTAGATGTGTGTGTAAAATCAAAGTACTGTAAAGTGTGTGAATATTGGCAAAAAAAAGAAGGTACTGCTGAGTACGAGGAGGTGTACCCTTCGCACAAAGAGAGTGTTCTTGTTGTTCTTGACAGCGCAGTAAAGCGCTTGGTACTCTTGCAACATACGAGCACAAGAGTCCAATGCATGAGGATGTTTTCAAGGCGATACAACCCATGTATAAAGAACTCAGTTCCGACAACCTTCAGTTACGCTACTTGGGTGCGTATTCTCAAAATAGTAACGAGTATTTCAATGCTGTAGTGTGGTTAATTGCTCCAAAAACGATATCTAGCGATAAGATTATAGTTGATATTGCGACTGATGTAGCCGTTATTACCTTCAACGAAGGTTTATCGGGTATGTTTGCCGTTTATGATGCTCTTGGGTTAACCGTTGGACCGAACATGTACGAGTTTTGCGTAGGATCGGACGCCAATCGCGTCAAAGTCTCTGATCATCGTATGTCCGATATCGCGAAAGAGGCTAGGAGCAGCCTTACATCAGACAAAAAAAAGGAAGAAGAGGAAAATAAGGACCAGGAAGGACAACTTTACGGCGCAGGGATAGCTGACTGAAGGTAAAAAAATTATTAAGGACTATATTATTGCGATTCTTAAGATTTATAGAATTTTGAAACTTTAAACGCGTTTTTTTCAAAACCATGTTATCAAAATCGGCGAGCAGTAGAACTGAAAAAGTTTACATCCAATTGACTTGAAATTTTAACTGTAGCTTCTTCATTAGATTATCTAGTGAAGTACACACAATTTTAGCGATTGGTTAACAACAAAAAAAGTTATAAACAATTATAGTCAATTTTTATTGTCGAAAAAAAAAAAATTTTTCAAACCGTCGCCATTTTGCGAAAAAAAATTCTAAAAATATAATCATGTGTACTTCACTAGCGACACTCGTGTAGATAATGAAAAAAATTTTTCTTTTGTTATAGTTGGAGTTGGGCACGACTTCTACTGCTCGCCGCGGAAGAACTTTTTAAAAAAGCAGTTCACGGCAATCGCTGCACAGCCGCCATTTTGTAAAAAAAATAACAATAAAAA